CCCGGAGCAGTCTGGGACACGGGCACGATCCCCCCCTCTGCCTTTTGGGAGCAGATTGGGCCCCCTGGAGGGACAGTGCTGTTGGTGCCCCCCGGGCTGGGGCACCCCGAGGACTCGAGCGCGCACCCAAAGGATTCTTCGGGGAGCTCCTCTGGGTGCCCCGAGCTGGGGAGCTCAAAGCAAGGTCCCTGCAATGGATTGAGGCATTCCTGAGAGGATCAGAGGTGGAGCTGTCTGTCCTGGCCATGCAGCTCTGGACTGGGCTGTCATTGGGTTCTCAAAGTGGTGCTCTGACTGCAAAAGAAGTGTGGGATTGGGCTTAAGGGATGAGTGGTGATGGTACCATTGGGTGTTTTCTCTTGGGTGGAATTGTGAGAGCTGCAGGAGTGCAAGGTGTGGGTTCCAGTGCCCAGCATTTGGTTTGCACATGTGCTGGTCAGACACAGGTCCAGCTTCCTCAGTCCTGAACATAACAGAGGGAGAATTCAGGAATGGCACTGTGAAGGTGATTGGTGTGACAGGGGTTACAGTGGGAAAACCTTGGGGAATTCCTCAGTTTATCTATTTGCCAAAATTACCCAAACAACTGCCAGGAAGAGATTGGTTGCAAAAGTTGAGGCAGGTATTAAATTGAACAACGGGGAGATGATGAATATTGTAATTGGTGAAACTAACTGTGTGAGAGCAGCAGCTCTTCTCGTGCAGGAAAGAACTCCTGTCAGCAGCACCGTCCCGACTGAAGTGGCAGATGATGGAGTTGTTCCTGTGGTGTGGGCCAGTGGAAAACAGCTGTGACCTATGAAGGGCCAGGTTGGACACTTGTCAAACAGTAGCACAAGTGGCTCTCCAGGTAGCCCAATATAAATATGGGAAGCCAAGGGGTCAAGTAAATCAGTGCATGCTGTGACTGCAGAGGCAGGGATAGGTTGGGGTCACAAGAACTGGGGTGGAGATGGTTGGGATTGAGCTGCTTTAGAGCGTGGTTCAGAGGGTGAAGTGTTTGCTGAAGCACAGCCAATAACAGGAGGGAAAGTGGAAGGTGACCCCGATGGTTCTCCTGTCAGGCCTGGTGTGGTGGAGGATTTTACTGAGCCTGAACTTGCTGGTGGTGTGGAGAGGTTTACAGCAAAGGCCAGAGAGTCTGTGATCTCCTGGGCAGTTGGGCTGCATGAGCTGGGAGCCTCTGGGATCAGATTGGACCGGGCAGACAGGGAGCAGTTTGTCCCGTGGAGCTGGGCTGGGTTTGTTCAGGATGCCTTGGGAGGCAGGGCTGGAGAGGCTCCTTTGTTGGTTGTAGCGGTGGAAGGTTGTCCCAGGAGGGCTGGAGCCCTTCGACCTCCCGCTCCCCCCATGAGCCCCGATGGGACCGTGCACTTGGCAACGGAGGGCCCCCCATTGCTGAGTCAGCGGTTCCGGGGGCCGGCAGGGATGGGATCAGGATGCCGAGCTCCGGCCAGGGCAGGGCAGGAACTGGT